CTTTGCTCGAAAAGAAAAGCACCTCGATCGTCTGGTGAGAAGCACGTCGGCCTGGTCGTACGTACATCAGGGTCGGCATCTGGAACTCCTTCCCGTACTCCTCGTCCTCCTCCTTCTCGATGTCCGGAATCAACGCGTTGGAGTCGAACATGCCCTCGGAGCCTTCCAACTGATCGTGATCCCGGTCGAAGAAGTTGGACTCCACCCACTGAGCCCAGTCTCGATTATAAGTCCCCGTGCTTTGCCTGTCCACGATGTTGTCCGTATCTGAAGCCAGTAGACTTGCCATCCATGTGCGACTCCCCGGTGCTGGAACCGAAGACGTCGAAGGTGTTGGCTTCGGCCGAGCTTTCGGAACCGTGGTTGATGGCCGTCTCGTAGGCGCTGGAGGTGCTCGAGCATGTTCCTGCCAGGAGGTTGAGAAGCGACGCGAGGAGCCGGAAAACACTGCAGCGGCTGCCGCGGAAGGTGCTCCTGGCGTTACGGCGGTTGTCTTGGCCTTCGGCTTCTTCTGGTCGCGCTTCTGACGCAAAGATTGACCACTCTTTCTGGCAGATCGAGTGGCGTTTTTGCTTGAGGGGATGCCTTCAGAGTTGCCGGCACCTGGTTTCCATTGGGCATCTAGACCCGCAGATGTCGCAGATCCTGACCTTGGTTCCTCCTAGGCTCTCAGTCCTGATGGATGGTTGCACTGATCCGGCTTCTTCAGATAGGTCTGATTCGTCAAAGCCGTCTGAGCCGCCAGTACCGCCACCGTACTCAGCACCGTGGTAGGAGTCGAGGGTACTCCGTAGGTTCGGAGCACCAGATCCTTCAAGGTCGGCTTCAGAGACGTCATGGCGCAGAGCAACACCATCTGGCCCACGTTCTCCACGAACCCAAAGAGCTTCTTGAGCAGGGCTCGCCTCGCGAGGCATGTGGCGGAGGTCTTGCTGGGCTGGTCGTTGTTTCCAACACACTTGGGTGCATGATCAAAAGCTGCCGGATGGATCACATCAGGAAGATCTTGTGGTACATCGCTAGGGGGCCATACTGGGGGCTCGTCGTTCCACTCATCCAATCTGATTGCCAAGTGACCACACGGAGAAAGCCAAAGTTGGGAGGAACACTTCAAAGCCTTAAAGTAAATGGTCCCCGTGTGAACATCCGGAACTGCTCCCAAGGCCTCGAAAGCTCTGCGTGAAAGAAGAGCTGGGGCCTTGGCATTGACCACACTCACCGACAAGCTGAAGCTCACTCCCGCAATAGCTGCTGGATACACATAACGTCCAACACTTGACATGGGAGAACTCGGACCAAACGAAAATCGGCACTGGTCGGGGTACTCAAGTCTTCGAAGAGGCAGGATTTCTTGAAGCTTCTGATCATGCCATGCTCTGCCAGCTACTTGGCGTTGACATCCGGTATCAGCAATGATATAAGCTGAGCACGGACCTTCGCAACACTGAAGCAGAACACTAGGAGCTCTATGGACTTGGGGTTCGAACTCTTGAAGAGGAGGCAGCTTGAAATGCACCTTCTTTTCACTCGGCTTGGTGGCTTTCGGGGTCTCGGCAGTCTGCTTGTCGGCCGAAACACAACTTGCAACCCAGCTGGAGTGCGTCTCCACGGCGCCGTCGGCATCCAAGCACAACCCAGGGATGCTGACCGAAGCCAGCTGAGCATTCTGCACATTGAAGTTCGGACAATCCCTCAGCCAATGATCTGCCGAGCCACATCCAAGGCACAAGCTGCCCTGCAATCGCTGCTGTTGCAGCGCATTCTGCGAGTCGAACTTGCCTTTGCCCTTAGTCCCGCGTCCTTTTCCCGCGCTCTTGGCTCCAGACTTGCCATTGTTCTTGCCCTTGCCCTTCGGAGGGAAAGACGGAGTGCCCTTCTTCCCCTTTCCTTTGCCCTTCGCGGAGTCAGGCTTGTAGTATCCCCTGGCCTGCGCCAGGCCAGCCAACTTCTTTGAAGTAACAGTAAGGGCTTGAGCGGCTTCTGTCAGAGCATCGCCAAGAGCATCGGTGCCCCAGTCGTAATCGTCAGGTGCTTCAGCCGTTTGTTCCTGGCCCTCCTCGCCTTGATCGCCTTCGTCCTCGGGGATGTCGGCGAGGTAAGTCTCGTCCAAGGCCGGGTCATACTCATCGGGGTCGCCAGTCATCGCCTGCTCGGGAGTCTCATCCTCACCGTCGCCGGGATGATACCAGTCGTCGTTCTCATCCTCGGCGTTCGTGTTCCATTGTCGCCATCTCCGCCCGGATTGAGAGCTCCTCGATGATCCCGCGGATCGGGTAGAAGACGCCGATGTGCTTGCCCTCGATGAAGTTGAATGACCTCTGCCGCGGGCGGGCCGTGGATCGTGTCGAAGACGAGGAATGCCGGTTATAGTCATTCCCACTGGATACTGGATGCGAAGTGCTTCCAGGACCTTGGTCATATCATACTGGTTGCCGGCTGCCAAAAGCACTGCTGAGACTGACTTGTCGTCCAATCTCAAGCCGTCCAACAGCTTGACCACTCGAGCCTGCTCCGGGTACGGAGGGACTCGATTGTCCTTCAGCTTCCTTTCCAGCAGTCGGAACCTCCGAATGAAGGCTGACACAGACCCACCTTGCAAGCGGCACACCTGCTCAAACTCCCTAATCGTTCCCCCCTGCCGGAACAACTCGCGTTCTCCGAAGGAAACGGTCCTGAATGAGCTTCTGCACGCCGTCCTTGCAATCGAACCTGGAGTCCTCAACCTCTTCGAATTCCAGCTCTGCTTCCCCCTTCAACTGCTCCAGTGCCCTCAAGGCTTGTTCGTTGGGTGGCAAGAATTCACGAGTAATCTTGAGCCACCTGCTGAGCTTACGCTTGTAGTGGCGCAAGCAGTAGGGGTCCTTCTCGATGTCGCCGTCAAACACTGGAGCGGGTGGAATCGCTCCTGACCTCCAGCGTTTCTCCTCGGACTCCTTGCCGCCGCGGTTGGCGGCCTGCTGGGAGCCACCTCTGGATCCCCTTTTTCTCCTTGAAGCAGAAGAAGAGACCCCCAGAGTCTGCACACTATGATTCGACGAGGCGCCGGAGCCTATGCCGCCAAGGCTGGCAGAGTCATCAACGTCGTCCTCATCAGCGCCAGCGGCGCCAGATCCATTTCCAAAGTCGAACAAGTCGTCATCGAAAAACATCTGTCGCACAACTCGGGCCGTGCGCTTGCCCAAGGGTCGCTACCAATGCAAACGCAGCACTTGTAAGTAGTGGAGCCTGGGGTCCCTGGGCCTTTCAGCAAGCGAAGCACGACCTCACCATGGGCTCACTTTTGGCTCTATGCGCAATCCCTTCCCTCGAGAGGTAAGTTGCGGTTCATCGAACTCAGCGAAACATGGCCTGTCACGGCAAGAGAAAGCGCTGCTTTAGCATCCCGAACCCAGGGTTCGAACTCCCTGGGGGACCGGGGGGGGTTCCGGAACCCGGGGTCCCAGTATAGAGTTCCCCAAACCCCAGGTTCGAACATAGAGTTCCGAACCCAGGGTTCGAACATAGAGTTCCCGAACCCCGGGTTCGAACATAGAGTTCCCGAACCTAGGGTTTGAACATGCGCCCTTCCTTGATTCTCTATATGGGAGACCTTAACGCAAGAATCATCCCGACGGAGTTGGAAGAATTTTCGGCACATATCGGTAAAGCAGTCTTCTTAAGTGACGCCCCTGCGGACGACACGTACACCACCAATTATTTTAAGTTGCTGGACTTTTTGGTACATAATGTTTACTTGATCGCATCATCCTTTCACACGCGACCGGCTTCCCAGATTGTCTCATATAGGGAAATCGCGTCCTCTCCGGAGGCATCTCCCACACAACCCGAAAATACAGATTTCTCATGCCTTGATCATGTGCTGGCGCCCATGACGTCACTGCACAACATCAAAGCCGCGGCCACCAAGACCAGTTGGAAACTACCGTGGTTTCATCGCCACTACCCACTTTCATTCACGATCACCTTCGACAAGTTTCAAAAACCCCCTAAACCTCCGCCGCCTAAAATCACGCCTCCAAGAACTAAAGACGACCGACTCAAATTTAAACGAGAATTCGCGGAAGCATTCGCGCAAGTAACGCAACAGCCAGTCCGCTTCTTAGGCACTGCCCCTGTGTTGAACGCACCCTGCCTATACACAGACGGTGCTTGCCCTGATCAATACAATGTTCGAGTAGGCAACCCCGCCGGATGGGGCTTCACAATCCGTCACAACAATACCTGGACGGACTCATGGGGCCCAGTGGGACACAACTTAGAGCTCCAAGTCGTGGGCTCTAACAATACCGCCGAACTCCAGGCCCTTTTAGAGGCACTGGATTACGTCGCCAGACACAAAACCCATCTTTCGATTTGCGCTCTTAACGTTTATAGTTTATACCGATTCCCAGCTATCTTACGATTTCCTCCATGGCCTCTCCATACCCACGCAGCACCTTCAACTCTTAACCAAACTACGCATCCTCCTGGACCACCTTTTATCCAGCATCCCCGTTTCGCTACTAAAAATTGAAGGCCATTCGGGCCACGACGGAAACGAACGCGCCGACACTTTGGCCAAGCAAGGAGTTACTTCTTTCTCCACAATCGGGAGGCATTCCTACCCTCCTCGACAACCCTTGAGTGACACCATACGTCTTTCCACCCCACCCCTATTTGAGAAGCTCTCCGTAGAAGAACAAGCCACAGCGCTCCAAGAAGCCGCGCTGAAGATAGCGCCCCGCACTAAACAGGAACGCACCTACGATAAAGAATACCTCTCGGAACCAACTAAAAGACTTATCGATCGCATTTCCTCGACTCCCCCAGATGACCACGAAGCTTTGCAAAAACTCCGAAAAGCCATCAAACGACGTGCCCGGAAAGACAAAAAACAACATCGTTGCAATAACCTGCTCCAAGACTCTAAAGGACCCCCTTCAAAGCAATGGTCCACTCTAAACTTTCTCCGCAAGGATTACACACCGAGAACTCAAGGAATTCGCAAACCTAATGGCCAGATGTCCACCAAAGCCGCTAAGCCCGATGTCATGGCTAGCCATTTAGCCACTAAAGTCTGGAATCATAGAAACCTCCCCGAACTCCCTTCCGACCCTATTTTTCCCCCTGCTCCTATTGACACCAGTCCATTTACGGAACCCGAATTATTAAGGGCGCTGGCGCGCCTCAAAAATCGCAAAGCCCCTGGCCCCGATCAATTGCCGGCGGAAATTTGGAAGTTCGCGCCCAGATCGGTTCATGTTGCGCTACTGGCGCACTTTAACAAAACTTTTACGCAGGCAATCTCGCCTAAATCCTGGAAGGTCGCGGACATAGTGATGATATTTAAAGGTAAAAAGAAAGACCCCACTCTCCCTACAAGCTACCGCCCCATCTCATTGATCAACACGGTTTACAAGTTGTATGCTTGTCTGATCCATGACAGATTAAAAACGGCTATTGATGACCGTATCTCGCCGGTTCAGTTCGGTTTTAGAACCGGCAAATCCACTTCTACGCCTCTATTCGTCCTTCGACGTTTGCTGGAATTACATGAAAGACACCAGGAATCCTTTTATGCTATGTTCCTGGATTGGTCACAAGCCTTTGACTCAGTCTCCCACTCAGCGTTGCGCAACGCGCTGCAGCGAGTAGGTCTCCCCGACACATTTGTTAATCCGGTATTGTCAATTTACGAAGACTGCCATTTTCGCGTGCAGGACTCGGGCTATACGTCCCGCCCGCAAGCCTTCGCCCAGGGCTCGTCAGGGGTGCCCTTTATCGCCGTATTTGTTTATCATTACCCTCTCAGTGCTTTTTCATGATACGTACGCAGCGTACGTGGCAGAGTATGGCCCTAGACCTTCAGTACTTACTACGGATTTTCGACTTACAGATATAGAGTACGCCGACGATACAGTTTTATTATCTCGCACGAGATTGTCCCTACACCGTTTTCTGCACACGCTGCAGTCCCACTCTTACAAAAGAGGCATGTCCCTGAATCATGAGAAGTGCCAGCTTCTCTGCATCAACACTGATCTGCCCGTATATCTAACGGATACCACAACCCACCCATGCCAATGTGACTTCTGTTGTATGAGAAGCAACCCACAACTACCCCAAGAACTCGGCATTGATCCTAAACCCCACGCCGATTACTTAGGAGCTGTCCTCACTCATAATTCAGCCGCCAAAGCGGACGCCAAAAAGCGATACGCGCAGGCCTCGCACGCGGCCAAATGTCTACATGATTTCTTTAGGCACCCCTCCATAACCATTAAGCGAAAGCTGCTAGTTCATTCCCAGATCGTGTTGGCCATCCTTCTGTATGGCTCGGAATCACAGATGTATTTGCAACCTGACCTCACTAAACTGAACAAGCTACACTACAAGGTCCTTAGACAGATCTTCAACATCAAAAGTTCCTTTTATCATAAAGTCTTGGAACCATCGGAGGCAGAATGCTCCAACGAATATCTATCCCAACTTGCCTACGAGTACGCCCCCAAACTCCTTTCCCCGTCGCAGAATATCATATCATCCCGGATCTCTTATCTCGGGCATATCCTCAGACACGAAGACTCAATTGAACATATCTCCACCTACCAAACAGCACATGCCTACAGACGCCTCCATAGGAAAAGACCTGGCCACCCTCGTATACATTGGGCCGAATTGACCATGACACAAGCGTACCAACGCTACCAAATACTCTCCTCGAACTCCCCTATTCCCCGCCCCTACCAAATATACCATGATATCTATCACCATCCTACAGAAAGAGAGGTGGCTGCTGCCCATTCCAGATTTTTTGGTAATACTGACCTTTGGAGGACCCTACAGCCGTTAGCTCAAAACCGTAGATCCTGGGTTCAGTTAGAAGTTTTGCGTTAAACATCTGAAAGGGCTGCTGACGAGTAGTCTCACTTGTGGACTTGCTCTGCGCGACAGAGAGAGAGAGGGTTTGAACATAGAGTTCAAACTCCAGGTTCAACCTGGGTTCGAGAAGTTCGAACCCAGGGTTCAACCCTGAGTTCCGGAGTTATATGTTCTCCCCCCAACCCCCCCCCCCGGGCCCCCCAGGAGTTCGAACCCTGGGTTCCGGAACATTCCAAAAACCTATGCTCGCTACAGCACCGCAGAACAGAACTGGCAAGAGAGCAAAGAAAGTGCCAGGCCACTCTGCAAGGAGCAAGTGAAGCTCTTACAGCAAGCAAGCTTGTAGGCCCCAAGGAGGGCTTTCCCATTGCAAGCCAGATTGCAGACTCAATCCATCCTAATCGAAAAAACTGCACTGCAAAGATTCAGCAGCATAAGTCCCGTCCATAACACTGGTCGCAAATGCAGAGGGCAAAGGACCATATCAGAGGATGCCATTGCACACTTGATGGCCCCTCTAAAGCGGAAAAGCCAAACAAACCAAAGGCAGGAACGAAACCCCTCACCAGGGCCTCCCGTCGCAGACAGCTCCGGGCCGCCTTCTCTTCCGCGAGCCGAGATGCCTGGGTACTTGGTGCTACTGCGACTACTGCTACTACTACTGCTACTGCCACTGCTGCTACTGCCACTGCTACTGCTACTGCTACTACTGCTGCTGCTACTGCTACTGCTACTGCTATTGCTATATACTGCTACTGCTACTGCTACTGCTTCTGCTACTGCTACTGCTACTGCTACTGCTACTGCTACTGCTACTGCTACTGCTACTGCTACTCCTACTGCTACTGCTACTGCTACTGCTACTGCTACTGCTACTGCTACTGCTACTGCTACTGCTACTGCTATTGCTACTGCTACTGCTACTGCTACTGCTACTGCTACTGCTACTGCTACTGCTGCTGCTGCTGCTGCTGCTACTGCGACTGCTACTGCTACTGCCACTGCCACTGCCACTGCCACTGCCACCCACTGCCACTGCCACTGCCACTGCCACTGCGACTGCGACTGCGACTGCGACTGCTCTTGCTCCTGCTCCTGCTCCTGCTCCTGCTCCTGCTCCTCCTGCTCCTCCTGCTCCTGCTCCTGCTCCTGCTCCTGCTCCTCCTGCTCCTCCTGCTCCTGCTCCTGCTCCTGCTCCTGCTCCTGCTCCTGCTCCTGCTCCTGCTCCTGCTCCTGCTACTGCTACTGCTACTGCTACTGCTACTGCTACTGCTACTGCTACTGCTACTGCTACTGCTACTGCTACTGCTACTGCTACTGCTACTCCTACTGCTACTACAACAACAGGAGGAGCTCAAGGTTCTCAAACAGGACACGGCCCTGGTGCTCTTTCTTCGCCCAGGGGAGGACAACGTGCTACACCACCTCTACAAAGTGGCGGCGCACTTCAAAGCCAAGCAGGAGCAGGACGCCACATGGCAACTGGGACAGAATCCTCTTCGCATGGTCTTGGCCATAGCACTCTTCAAGGAAGTCACGGACCGCCTGAACCAGACCATTGCTTCGCAGGAAAAGCTGAAGAGAGCGGTGGATCAAGGATGGCGAGATCCACAAGCGGGCTGGAGATACCAAGTTTGGAACCACAAAACCAAACAACTCCAGGTCGATACCAGTCGACCACCGATTCCGGAAGACAAACTTCTCGACCACTTCGCCACCATCCTTCAATGCCTTCGTCAGCCCATCGTCAACCGCTTTCGATGCACGAGAAGATTAACAGAAACAATGTCCAGCCCAGCAACCTTCAAACTAGACATGTCAGTTCGAAGCCACAGTGCTCTGACGATGTGGGACACTCTGAAGATGTTGCAAGGGAATGCGGTTTTCCAACTTGCTGGAATGGCCTACAAGACGGAAAGCCTGGCCAGAGGGCCAGTGGAGCAGAAGATCGCGGAGATGGTGTATGGCAGGAGGTAACTGCTGCCCAGCGGTTTGCGACCCAGCTTATCCTGCGTAACAACAGCTCTATGTGCTACATGAATTCCTCCTTTCAGGTCCTGGCATGGCTTATGGAGCAACTTCGACTACCGCAAACACTCCTTTGTGGTACAGGTGCATCTTTGTTCCACGATGTATTCGCGAGATGCCTCCCTATACCCCACAGGTTGACAGATGATCCTCGGTGGCTAACGCTGATCGATGATTGGGGTGAGGTCCATCGTCAACATGATGTGTGTGAATTTCTTGAACACATACTGCAAAAGAATGACTATGGTTTGTTCCAAGGCACATGGCAGGCAAGGTCGCCTACCATGGCAGGGGAGACGCAGCTTGTGGATACAGGGCAGTGCACTCAATCCATTGTTCTTCACATGCCTTCAACCTACCCTACGACATCGGCCAATTCACTTAGGATTCAATCCTTGGTGGACACTTGGTGCAGGGGAATTGACAGAATACATGGTCTGACAGTCGCGCCCCCGGTGATTCTACTTCAGCTTCATCGCTTCACCAAACAGCGTGATCGTGTTCTCAAAAATCACCTCAAGGTGCAGCTGGACCACGTGATCCAAATGCCTTTCTTTTCTGGGGACAGGCACAATCTGTCGCATCGTTCATACAAGCTCAAAGCATTCATTGAACACCATGGAGCCACACCCACTTCAGGACATTATACGGCCAACCTGGTCAACGATGAGGGCTCATGGAGCTGTGACGATGGCAGAGCAGCCAAAGTGAAAACCATGCGGGGTGAGCGACATCCCACTAAAACTGGCTATGCTCTTTTCTACAGTCTCGACGCTGCTCTTGCCACATCTTCCGATGAAGGTTTGGCACACACTGGCGACACACATGCTAGCACATAATGTTCCACGGAACGGTGTGTGTTGATACCTGTATTTTCTGAGATGATCAATCGTATCATGAGCTTATAGCTCCGGGCATTTGAATATGCCTGCTCTTTCCCGACGCTTGGCGACAGGACTCTCCTCGCTGCGAGTGAAGCTGAAGCTGCTACTGCTACTGCTACTGCTACTGCTACTCCTACTACTACTACTACTACTACGCTTATATACGACTACTTCTAGTGTTAGTCCTATTATGATGATTATTATTATGATTACTACTACTACTACTACTACTACTACTACTACTACTGCTACTACTACTACTACTACTACTACCATTACTACTACTACTACTACTACTACTACTACTACTACGACTACTACCACTACTACTACCACTACTACTACGACTACTAGTACTACTACTACTACTACTACTACTACTACTACTACTACTACTAGTACTACTACTATGACAGTCTGCAACATGCGACAATGGTTGAAGTGATATCCCAGCTTGAAAATTTCCGCGTGACGGGGTCAACACCGTTTCGTGGTCATAGAGTTGACGTGGGGAACTTAGGTTGCACTGTCGTTTTGCTATTCCGGGGTTGAGGCATTGCAAGTATTGTTTCATTTGGAGAAGTTTGGGCACACACTTGTTATATTCGGAAACACACTGGCGCACCGCCGGTTTGTATGCATGGTCGCTTCAGTTTTCAAGCTCCTCTTCCTGGGATGCACATGACATCAAACGAGCTCGTGAAATTTTGCCAAACTTGTTGACAGGTTTGGCAAAAATTAGTGCCGTTCTGGCATGGAATGCTCGGCTCACAGTTTGCTTTGGTAGAGTAGGACCCCCGCGAGGGGTCAGCGCTGCTTCTCAAGGCGCCGATGCCTTATGATAGCAATCGTCATCATCATCTTCATCCTCGGCCGCGTACTCGTTGCTCTCATTACCATACCGAGCATGAACAGCGTTGGCAGGCCGCGCAGACAGGCAGAGCCAGGGCTGTCGGGGTGCCAAGATGTGACAAGTTGGTCAAAAATACATCCGCTGTTGTTGCATGCCCGGGATGAAGAGCTGACAGCACCTTGCGGCAAGCGACCGGCAGATACATGCGCGCTTCCCAGGCAGCTTCTGCAGAATGGCTCGGTCGAGCTCAGGGTGGCCGCCTGATCGCGTCGTTTTCGGCAGCGGAGACACGGACAAATCGATCTTGGAGCTTTGCTTCCATGACAGAAAAGAGGTCGATTTCGAAATGCATGGTTGATTAGATGATTAGATAAGGTCTCGAGATCGACGGCGAGCGAGCCGTGTGCTGAGAGGGCTAGTAACCGACTTCACAACTTGACTTGTTTTGGAGAGACTTTGTTTCAATCCATCCCGCGAGGGTGACATGTGTTTGCAGCATTTTGGGGATTTCATGTGTGCACACGGTTGCAGGACGGAGTAAATCTCGGGGCAGAGACAAACGGCCAGGATCTCGGACCAGCTTGTCAAGTTGAGCTGCACGGCATGTATTGCCATCAAACCGAAGCACGCATTCCTGCGGATCACCGGGACCATTCCCAAATGTGTGGAGTGGCAACTTGCTGTGAGATCCTTGCAAGGAAAAGCCGGTCACGTTCGTCACTAGCTCAGCACGTCCTTGTTGCTACCGGGCTGTTGCCTCACTGTCGCGGTCGCTTAGTGACATGGAGCTGTTTAGTTCATGGAATCTGTCGCTTAGTTTTTTCCCTTCCTCGTCTTAGCTTTCTGACAGCCGTGGCTTGGCAGAGGCGCCGGCGAAGGGGGGCGGCCTCTCGGTTGAGAGCTCAGACTGACGCGGATTCTCGGATGTCGCCATCGGGCAGACATGGATAGTGTAGACGGTGCCGGCAGCCCTGCAGTGTCTCTCTCTCGTGCACATGTCTCAGAGCCAACACCGCGTTGAGGTCCGAATCTGCTCCGAAGAGGCTGAAGACTCGCAGTGCGTCGATCCAGCTTTGCTCAGCGTTGAAGATCTTGCATTACACCCTGTGCGATGCAGAGTGATTGGGCTCGTCAGGAAACAGGAGAAGAAAGAGAAGGCGAAGGACATTGAAATCGAGCTTGCTTGAACTTGCCATTGCCAGGCTTTAGACCTCTGTGATTTGTTTCTGCAGACAGAGCAGGCTCTCGAGGCCGTTGTCCAGGCCAGCTAAGATCCATTCTTTATGTAGTGGAGCTCTGTGTATTTCCGGGTTGGTTGTGTATGATTCTGTCTGTTCGACGAAAGCACAACATTCCGTTGTTCGTCGGTCCCACGCAAATGATCAGGAGAAACCGCCGCCACCGCCGCGACGGACACCGACACCGTCACCAGCCAGGTGCGACTTTGCAGCCGGTATGCTGAGGGGCTTGCATCTTGAGTCAGAGTCATCGTAGATGTACATAGACACAGAAAGAGAACCAATTTTCCCTGGCTCGCCTTCTCTCCTTCTCATCCGTCTCTCTCTTTTCGTCTCTTTGTGCCTTTCTTTCTTTCTTTCTTTCTCTCTCTCTCTCTCTCTCTCCCTCTCCATCTTTCCGGTCTGTGTCTGTCCATGCATACACACATACATGCATGCGTGCATATGTTGCCTGCACGCATATATTCATACCGAACACATTCGTAGACACGCGAAGTATGTACATGTTCATGTGTATATAATATGTATATATATATATATATTTATATCTGTATGTACACATCTATGTTTATATACATGTTTTCGTGCTCAGGCGGAAAGCCTACCGTACACGTAAGACACGAATGTATCAGTCAACAATGAAGACATGTGTATATGTACGTATATGTATGTGCACATAGAGAAACATAGAGGCAAAGTTCTGCACAACGTCAGTTCAAATCAGCCTTCATAGAGTGTTTGGTGCGGCCTGTACACAGCTCAGAAGAATGACAATTACAAGCACTTTACATGTGCGTACATGCGTGCGTGTCTTTTATTGTAATGTATATACATATACATAGACATACATCTCTCTATTGCTGCATCACAGGCACAGATGTTTAGTTGGCGCGAATTCTCATGCCCTCTCCTGCACTATGTTGCTTTCTGTGTATCACATCATAATTGCTGGAATATCTTAGATCACGCATACATATGCATACATACTTCCTCTGCATGGCACAGGTGCACATATATGTATACATATATATATATATATATATATATGCATGTGTACATGTATATGTATACGTATACTTACATGTATATGTATATGTATATGAATACGTTATGTATATGTATATATGTACATGTGCATGTACATGTAGGTGTAGACGTATATGAGTCAGTATCTATGTATGCAGGAAAGTATGTACATACGTACATATATATATATATATATATGTATACATACCCATATACACATATCCACGGTACCGTATCTGGCTGTCAAACCCTATACGTAGGCACATTTACCACCTTGAAGAACCAATCTGCTCCTCGTGCTTGAAGTGTCACTACAAGTACAGATCGGTGGCACCACGTGTGACATCTCTGTATAGAGATCTTGGCAGAACAACAGTGTGTGTACACACACACATGTGCGTATTTATGACTCCATGTTTATGTACACACGTGTATATGCATACTTGTTTACATGTGCATGTAGGTGTGTATACAGTGTTTACGTACATGCCTACATACATTTTCAAGATGTTTATGCCCACCTGCATTTCCCTACGTGAGCACATGGAGGAACGGACAAGATGCCACATGCGAAAACAAGGACGGTTGTGACAACAATTAGTCGTGTATAATATGTGTATAAATCTGTATACCTGTATACATATATACATGCAGACTTGTGTGCAAGATCGATTGCTAGACGGATGCTCATGTTTTCGCCTGTCGTGGGTTGCAGAAGTGGGAGACTTTGCAACCCTTGAGATCACCTGAGCCAGAAATGTCAAGTTTGGCCAGCGCAGGTCAGAGTCGCAGAAGCTTGGACCTAAGCACAATGTTTACGTGGGCTGGGCATGTGTCAACACCGTCTTGTGCCGACGAATCCCAAAAGTGGTGGAGGGAGACGTGCTGTAGCAACTGGGAAGTGTATCGAAAGGAACCTCTCGGACTACGAGGGGGAACTCTCCAGGCTCGGAGCTCGGCGCAAGCAGCATCTGCTGGTCTTCGGTGAGTATGGAAGTCTCAAGAAGGGACCAAAGCGGCTTCAACGCAGGTCGCCGTCCAGACCAAAAAAGCGAAGGGCCGCACCGCTCTGATCCCAGATCAGGAGGCGGTGCATGGGCAACCTCGGTGTCCAATGAATGGTGTTGAGATGCAGAGGTCTGGGTCCCCGGAGCGGGTGCCGCCAACGCAGTTCGAAGACTACGAGCCAGCCGGCGATGGCCACGTCCTCAGGGGCGTGCAAAAGCCTGCACCGGAAGAGCTGTGGCATTCATCTTCGAGGCAGTGGCTGGTACGCCCTTAGCTCAGCGGAAGAGCTGCCCTCTTTCCTGGACTCGGCTGTCCAGGGTTTGCCCTAAACATTCCACTTCCTTGATCAAGCCACTTGAGCCAAGCATCCGTGGAATCCTGAATCAGAAGACATTTCGCAATTCAGACCGAGCAGTGCTGCGGGCTTTCTGCATCGAGCTGCTATGCATCATTTTCATGACAGCAAGAGCTTGCATTGAAAAGGAGACTCCGGAAGATACTTAGATAAGATTCGCTTGTGTACCTTCTCCAACTGTGCTGCTGCGATGGCGCGGATGATGCGGAGAGTACCTGCTGCGGCTTTCCTGGCTGTCGGTGTCGCGGTACTCCTGGCTTGAGCTTATCAATGCCACAATGTGAGTAACTCGTCATATACGTGACCATGGCTCAACTCTGCACCCAGCAGAGATGCACTGCACTGTGGTGTTTGGACACATTGCAGCATGGGCCGGTCGGGTCCCTACAAGTGCGAGTGCGTTTCAGCGCTCTCAGCTCCCGCCACGTGGATCTCAGCAAGTTGGATCATCCCCAAGTCTTTGATTACCAAGTGATGCTCATGATGCGAGCCCTTTGTGAGAAGCTTCAAAAAGCGCGGTTGACCGCGAAAGGTTCGGACGGCATTCGGGCCGACCCAATGATGCTTTCCTGTGAAAGCCATCGGCATCATGATCAAGCATGCGCGCCAAAACTTCGTTGCCTGATTCAGGGCTTCGCACGCTGGAAACGACGATGCTTGAGCTTTTGAGCTTTGTCTGTTCCGAGCTGGAAGCTGGCGGGGTTGGCGGCTGTGTTCTCATTGGATCATCATCGCTTTGGCACGGGTTTGTCTTTCAAAGACCCGTCCAGATGCTCTGTGCAGCTGTTTGCGCTGGTGGATGCCGTCTGATCAGAGAACGCTCCCTGCGAAGCACCGTTCTCATGTTCACAGGTGCTGCTGCGCGATTCGCCGAGCTTCGCCAGCTCGGGCAGAGGAGCGGCTGTGGTAGAATTAGGACAAAGTCTGTGTGTTTACGTTGATTCCACCAGCTGGTCAGACAGATGCAGGTCGTAGCCTCGTACGCCGAGCAAAGGGAGAGGGCAAGGTGCACTTGCCGTTTGGTGTCCTCACTCATTATCCCCTCCATGACTATTCAATTTGCTTCGCCGTACTTCAGCAGCGGTCTGACATGACAAGCGATTGAGACAGAACCGTGTGACGAACGGGAGTTACAAAGCTATCCACAGCTTAGAAAATCCTTGCCTTGTTTTGGATGCCGTGGGCCGGGGAGCTCACTTGTGATTTCTTCTTCTATGCTGCAAGCTGCACGAACACTCCCAGGCATGGAGCACAGCCTGAGCTATAAGCGAAGCAAGCGGTGCTTGACCAACGAAGGTTTCCGGAGCCAGTGTTTTGGCTCTTTTTTGCTGTTTGTGCTTTTTTGCCGTTGTGCTCTAGAGCTGAAGCCCCAGCAAACCAGCAAGTGAGTGATCAAACAGCAAAAACGAAACACCGCCCCGCACCCACTGCAAACAAAAACCATCCCAGCCCCTACAGCGTTTTTTTAGCTGTTGGTGTTTTGTTCTTTGCTGTTGGCGTGTGCATGTGTGTTTTTTGCTGTTGGAGCAAGGTGGTGTTTTTTGCTGTTGGTGCAGAAGGGGGTGCATTTTCGCCCTCTTGGTGCACCAAAAACAAAAACCTCGCACAAGCAGCAAAAGAATCAACACCGCATCGCACCAACAGAAACACACCAACAGCAAAAACCACAGACTCTTCTTAAGGTGTCCACTTTGAGGGATGGACAAAAGCAGCACGCAGACTTGAAGGCCGGACAACGGCATCAAGAGCTGTCGTCCAGTAATCTTAAGCCTTCAGCACAACTCTACCCCGCCATGCCCAGAAGCCTCTCGTTGGACAGATCTGGCTTCGGGGAGGGAGAGCGTGAAATCCGCGAAAACCGAGAAAGCCAAAATCCCTTAGGCGGCAAAGCGTGTTGCATGGATCGTGCATGCTGATCAACTAACACTACAGAGGGAAGTGCAAATAAGTGAAATTTGGGGTTACGTCCCAGCGTTGAGCCCACCGTAAGCATTGAGTCTGACCATGCAGGCTTTTTACGACTACATTGCGAACGATTGGAGCTTCAGTAGAGATGGCAGTCGCAGCTCGGCCGTTTGGGCTGAAATCATCTTGGTTTCAGTGGGGGTGCGATCTCGCTTCCCTCCGCGAGATGCGTGCCGTTGTCTCGAGGTCCCTGGGATGACCTCGATTTTTCCGTCACCGACCTCCTCCCGTTGTCCGAGACCGAGGTGCGGCGAACAAGGACCCATTCCGCGCAAAGTCTTTGGGAAGCTGCGGCCTCCTCGGCGGAGCCTTTCGAGGTGAAGGCCCTGGAGATTCTGGAGTCCAAGGTCCCCAACTGGCGGAAGGCTCTTCCTCACGCCGAGACTTCAGAGTTGCCCAGTACCGCTCGGCTTTTCCCTGGGAGGGGTTCCTGACTCCTGACGATGAGCGAGGGGTTAGACGCCGGTTCCGGAACCCTGGCTGCAAGCAGGCCTCTGTCTTCGAGTCTGCAGTTTTCACCCTGGACCTTCGGCTTCAGGATATTGGCTCGGGCAGCTGGCGGCGAGCAGCAAGGCCGTGTGGTCTCTGCTCGGAATGGCAAGTTGCATAGATTTGCTTAGAATGCTCTCCTGGAGAGCACGGAGATCAGCTTCGTCCATTTCCTTACTCTGCAGCTTCGATGCATCGCTTCGTTCCAGGCTTGGCTGCCCTGGAGCGCAACGTGGGGATCATGTGCGTCGGGGAGCGTGTGACGCAGGCTGAGCCCAAGCCCAAGCTGTGGAGCTTCCGAGCGGTACATCCGACATCCCTCTGAGGCAGCCGCTGAGGCGCTGCGAAAAGGCTTGGGTGAGGACAGGGCCCGACAGAGACAGAGACAGCTCCTTCAAGAACCTTCGCACATGGAGTTGTGGATGCAGGAGGGGGCTGGGGAAGTCGTGCGAAAGAATCCGGGAGTATTGGCCATCAAGGTGGGATTGTGCTGCTGTGCTACAGGAGGCTGGTTTTTACTTGTTGACCAAGGCCTCATCACTGCAAGGCGCTGGTCTGGCCCGCACCAAAGTTGTCCCCCGGCCTTTGGCATGGACTCACAAGAAGCGAAATATCTGAGCACACTGATCCTTGCATCATGGGTTACCGCCTTTTCCCAGCACGTCTGGGGGCTTATCTGCTTTGTTTGGACGAATTCTCGCTTTTCGTCGTAGTGTATCATGGTCGACTGAGAAGCTTCTTGCTGAAACCCACCGTAAACCCGAATACCTGAAACCTCTCGAACTTGCGTGGCATGTGCACCGGTTCTGCTTTCTGGCTCCAACTCCTCGACCCGGAAAGTCCGACGCAGGGTATTGGCCATACACGTCAGGAGCACGCTGTCCAAGAACTTTGGCTGAAGGAGAGTGTGGTTTGGGGCAGACCAAGGCCGCCGACATCATCGATTTTTTCCTTGGGCCTGGGGCATTCATCTTGGAGGTTGGCTCGCTGTTGGGCTGATCTCTTTGCAACTTTCCCTGCAAAGTGGCAAAGTGCATTGAAAGGCCTTGAAGCTCTTGGCGATTGCAAGTGTGGTTGGGGGCTGAGAACTCTGGCTCCGGTACCATTCGTGATCGACATGGCCACTCCTAGCACTGAGTGACTTAGTATCCTCCTCTGTCGTTGCATTTCTGGGCCGAGGTCAAGATCACCTACGATTTGTTTTTCCTCCCCAACGGCCTAATCAGAGCTGTTCCTGATCCGTGAGTTCCTGCAAGAACGGCAGTGCTTGTCGTTCCTGGGGCTTTAGGTGCTGCTGTGCGGGAAATGTGCTACACTGCTATGGAGATGGAGTGCGTGCGTGTTTCGCCGTACCTTCAATGGTATTGGAAGGACGATGTGCCGTCCGACTTAGGCTAGTCTCACATGTTTCCATGCCGCGAAGTGCATGCAAAGCGTTGAAAAGGGCGAATGTGCTTTTTCCGGTCTATCCAGCATGTCATGCAGAGACCTAGGGTGCAACGCAGATGGCAGAGTCAAGTTTGCAGACAGCCGAAGCCGAGGTCTACAAGAAGACAGCCAAGTGGAAGTTTCACCCGGAAACGGGTCTCTATTTCCACTTGAAGACGCAGGCATCGCTTCCGAAGTCTTGCCCGTGAAGGTAGCAGATAGCATGCAGTGTTTACTGTTATGTAGCCTGCACAACTTAGCACTGCCGTGGCAGCTTTTCTGAAGTTGACACCCACGGTGCTTGCAATCCATCGCTTCCTTTTTGAAGATTCTTTGAGCAGACAGCCAGGTGTATTACACGCCGAAGGAAAGTGACAATCGCTTCTTCAGACGGATCGACGACGACGACGCCCGGGTCTCAGGGTCACCGGCGTCGAACGCCTGGCAGCTCCGTGTCTGGGAGGATCCCCTGGTAAAGAAGATGAAACAGTCCCGGCCTCGACGGCAAGCACAAGCCTGGAGATGCCGCGAGCCTGGCGAGCAAGTGTTGTTTTGGCTCGGAGCCAGGTCCGAAGAGATGCGAAGAGCCATCTCGAAGACGGAATTTGTGAAGTTTGAGGTGGAGGGCGCTCAGGTTCCAGAGTCCGCATGCGCGAAGATGCTCGAAGGATAAATATGCCTGCATCCTTGCAGGGTGAGGATGGTTCTGCCCGCGCCGAAGAGCCAGCGCCTGCGCCGAAGGCGCCGGAGAAGGAGGAGGTGCCTGGGTGCGTGGGTCCGCTTCCAGCTCTCAGGAAGCGCTTGCGCGCACCGGGTCACCGATCGCCAGGATACGCGGATGGATGGCCGGGTCAACAAGTGGGACTCGGAGAAGGTCCCATTCCTAAAAAATTGTTTCGCAACACAAAGCTTGCTTTGCTCTTCTTTGCTCTGGTTCGCAGCGCAGGGCTTCGGCTTCATCATGCCTGCCGGGAAGGAGGAGGGCGGAGAAGTCGGTAAAGGCCACCGCCGTTCTCGAATCCTTTTGGGTGGCATCCCCCTCACCATCCTTTCCGTGTAAGTTCTTGGTTTGCGCAGCTCGACAGGCCTCTTCGTCCACCGAAAGTTCATCGTGGGTAGCACTCCGACGAACCCAATAAATCTGAAGGAGGGTGTGAAGGCCATCTCGGTTTTCCAAACTGGCCTTTCGGGACATGAACTGCGAGCGTGCCATGCTGCAGGTCAGCTTCAAGCAAGGCACGCAGGACGGCAAGCCCTGCGCGCTGGAGGTGCTGATGTTAGGTGCGTTTCTGAGCTTCTGGCTGACGAAGCGCCAGTGTGCACGTTTCGGACATGTGCGTATGCCTTCGGGGTATGCCTTCGGGGCTGCAGCAGGTTTGGTCCGTTTTATCCAGAAATAGAATCGGGTATCGGTGGAGATGTTCGTTCTTGTCTAGACTCTAGATGTGGGTGTGGGCGGAATGAAGTTCATCTGCACAAAAGACTTGTTGGAAGCTGGTTCAGGCGGCATCGATTCAGCTATTTTCGCTCTTGCATCTCCTTGCATGATCTTGCATGTTGGATAAATGGGAGCTGCCAGCATTCGATGTAGGGATGTCCCTTCCTGGTTCATCCGAGTCCATAAGGTGCAGACGGCAAGCCACTTCCTATCCACGCCGGCGCGCAGACGCTGGAGGTTGGCTTGCAAGCTGGTTTGCGCTCTTTTATCTAAGTCTACTCACGACTCGCAGTGGCCGTTTCAATCTCAGACAGCCCTACTAGAAGAGACAGGAGTTGGGCATTCACATGGAGAGCATAGCTTACAGATGATCTTACATATGTGCATACTTCTAGGATTCTGGGGTGCCAAAGCTGCTGAGGAGAAGAAGAAGAGCTATCACGTCTCAGCTGAGTCGCTGGGCCTTCGGGTGCACTGCGAAAGCTGGCGCGCGCCCTGGGAAAGGGGAAGCGACGAGAGCTCTTGGATTTCGGAGCATGCTTGGGCAGGCCCGGGCTCAAGAAGACCCTCCAGGAGACCCGCGTTGCGTGTGTTTGCGTGTGCGCACTGTAGACCATTTCTTTCGCCTCCTGGCAGGACCGATACGTCATGGACGAACCGCTCGAGGCGTGTCAAGAAGCAAATGCTTCGTCTGGGCCTTATAGAGACGACGCACTCTGAGCTGTTCAGGAGCTCGGCGTCTACTTCGCTGTCCTCGACGGTCACGGTGGAACACAGGCCATCCAGAAAAGATGGATTTTTATGAGTGCTGACCAGTTTTCCGAAGAGGTGGCAGACATGGTGAAGGAGAAGCTTCACAAGCGTGGGCCGTGGATTTTGCGCCGAGGTTTGCTGGTGATGCCAAAATTCAAGTTCTGCGACACCGATCAAAGCTGTGACGTCTGTCCTGTTGACTTGGTGCAGTTGATCGGAACCGAGGAATGTCCTCCAGCAAATGAGGCAAAAGCAGGCCGGCCTCTTGCGTCTGGTCGTTTCCTGACAGTGACACCAAATCTCCAATAGCAGACTCTGTTAGAGAAACAGATCAACAGTCAACCGAGACATCCGTCTCGTTGTGTAAGAGCGAAAACTCGAAGAATGATTAAACTCACACGCAGAGTTCGCCATTTCAGGTTCAACCTGCGTCTCGGGACGAGAAAATCAAGCTGGCCATTAAGGAGGCCGCTGGGACTTATCCGGACACCAGAGCTTTGGTTTCACGGTGTGGCGGAGGCCTTCGCTGGAGCCTGTCGTAGCACGATTTGACAGGCTTTCCTCCAAACCGACAAGGAGATTTTGGCTCTAGCAGAGCGCAAGAAGCCGACGGCCGAGATAGAATGTGTCCTTCGAATTTGACATAATGCTGTCACCACCGACCTCCAACTCCGTGGCTGAGGTTTGAGCTTGTTGGCTCCACTTGCGTGCGGCACCCAATATGGGAAATACTGCAGTCACAAGCTGGACTGCAATGGACTCCATGGCATGATTCGGATGCCGTCCTGCGCTATTCGGCTGATGAGCTGCTGTCGAGCACTCAGGTCTCAGTGATACTGCACGGGAACCCGATGCTGGGCTGCACCCGAGCATGCAACACGTATGGATCGAGCGATCTGAATGTGTTCACCGGTTGATGCAACCGGTGGTCCGCGAGGAAGCTGGGGACAGCCCTGCGTTTGGCGTGCCCGCCAAGATTACAAGAAAAGCTACTCGTAGCTTCATGAGAGCACGCTGTGTCACATGGCAATTCTAGTACCTGGTGCTCACGGGTTCATCGTCTCGCTCGGTCTGTTTGAATGAGTCGATCAAGAATGAAGGCATATGAGAGCCCTGTCTAAAGCAGGTAGTGTCAAATCTTGGAGATTCGCGGGCCGTGCTCTGCGGGGTCCCCAGCTGAAGCGCAGTCGCTCTTGCCATGCTTTCTGACAACGTTTGAACATCAGTGTGCAACAGCATGTGATCCGAAACTTGATGACTTGCTCGCCAGGCCGTGCAGGGCAGGCCGCAGACCTGCAGATTGTAGAATTGATGCAATACTTGATGGATGAAGTTGTGGCTACGGGTTGGGGAGTGGTAACAGAGTGTATAAAATGGACGGTACCGTCTTGTTTACGAGAGGAGTTGGCATGGCAGTTGCACCGAAGAGCCTTCACGCCAGATTGACTACGTCTGCAGCCTTTCGGCTTCCGTTCAGGCCGTGCCAGCCTCCGAGGATCACCGACCAACTCGAATCGATGAGCAACTCCGGCATGGGTTCAAGTGTATAAGATCTTGCGCTAGGTGTTTTGGCTGGGCCAACACTCTCAACACCGATTTGTATGGCAGGAAAAAACGCATTGAGCGAGTTGGCGGTCTCGTTTTGCAGGCGGGATCCAGTGTCGTTTCTTGATACTGTAGTCCACACTGGAGACTGCATGCCTTTGTCGGTTCGCTTCTCAATCCTCTTGAGTTTCACGACCAATGTTGTGAGTCTGCAGTCTCGTTTATGTTGCAGTGTCCAGAAGAAGGCCGACGGCATCGCATCCAAGGTTCGTGGAGCTTGGCGCGTTGCCACCTCGACGAATCCCAATTCCATGAACAAGGCCCAATTCAAAGTAGCCGGACTGGCATGATGAAATGTGTTGGCCAGAGGCGGTGCTTTCTTGCTTATTGTCCGGAATCCTTTTCACTTTCATGTGGACGGTGCAGGCTGCCAGAAGAGAATACCAGGCCACGTTGCAATTTGGCAGTCCCTCCGCTTGGCCGTGGTGTCACATCATTTCTCATTCAGTTCTCTCTAGTCTGAGGGGGCCGCATTTAAAGTGACATGCGATGTTTGCCTCGTCAGGGCCTCGCCATGACCCGATCTTTCGGCGACCTGCACGGGCCTTGGCCAAGCATCCGTTGAGGGGTCCCCCCGACCGCAGGCGATGCAGCGATGCAGCGATGCATGCCGAGGCATTTCAAGCGGCCCATCGGGCTGGCCATTGCGGAACCGGAAGTTCGGATCGTTCCTCTTTCGGACAAGGAGCTTCCAGCCGGTCTGCCCTAAGCCGAAGTTCCTGAACGCAGACGACACAGACGTGACGGAAGGACCTGTTTATAGTTCTTGCAACGGACGGCGTCTACGACGTCCTCAGCAACCAGGCCCGCCGAAGCAGAAGATGTATCGGGTTCAGGTGCTGCTATAGTGCACGTCAAAAATCCGTGGGTGCGCCAGGAAGTTATCGACCTGGCCATGAGGTGGGTGTTGAGGAAGTCACGCGATGTTTCCTGTGCCATGCAAGGGAGAAGCTGAGCAAGCTTTTCGAAACGGCAGAGCCGCAACGGGTTGGCGTGTGCGAGACTCCTTGTGGCTCAAGCTTAAAGCAACATGATAATGCATGCGGCATACCCTTTCGAAGCTCAAGAGCATCACAGCTAGCTGTGTGTTTGGGGAATTTGCCTTCTTTGCAACTGGAAGCTTGTGACCTCGTCCTAAACCGGCATTTTTGCTTGGCCAACAAACCTTCAACCCTTTCGTGTTCACGGTGCTATCATGTCTGCTTGCATGAGGCACTGGCGAGAGCCCGAAGAAGCCGCAAAGAACATTGTCCGATCAGCCTACAAACGTGGGGGAGCTGAGAAAGTGCTTTTATGTCGGAGTCTCTCTCATCGGGCTGTAGAGACTCGGGAACTGGGATCGTTGACCTGTGTCCAGTCAGTCAGTTTTAGTGCTGCGACGTCGGGTCAAAAGAGAGGTATTGCAAAGACAAGCCGCAGTCTGTTTGACCGAAGTCAGAGCCTTTCCCTCGTGAGCCTTAGCCGCTCGGACTGTGAAGGCGGGAGCGAGGACAACCTGACCGTCTTGGTGGTGCAATTTGGTGGGACCAGCTGAATCTGAGAGCTTCGCTCCCTTCAGGGTTTTGGGGCTTTGACATTCTGGGTTTGAGACTTATACTTAGTTAGATGTTGCAGTGTGCACATCCACATCCCGTTCGCATGAGAAGCTGTCGCCATGTGCTGTTGCTTGCATGTAGACGGACAGCCGGGCAGCTTCCGCCAGATGCAGTCACTTTGCAGTTACACGTTTGCACTCCTGACAGTGATGCAGTTTGAAGCAGTTGCAGCTCACAAGGCTCCAAACAAACCAATGCAACGAACCATCACGTCCACCACGAAAGCCACGCTCCCTTGACTTGTAGGTTGGGCTGACAAGAGTGTTCCGAAGTACGTGGGCAAGACAGGCCGTGACGGCACCTTGGGGTTGCCCAGATTTGCCCAGTGCGGAGAGAAGTTTTGGCTAGGGTGTGGGTGTTCAATGATGTACATGGCAAGTACTGTTCGATGAAGTTAGGTGGACTCATCGACCTTTCATAGCTCATGCCACTGGGTTCCGCAGTGCTCACCGATGGTGGACATTTTTCCTGGGAGCTGTATGTTCAAAGGAGGACTACCTCCGGCTGGCTGTTCGACTTCAAAACACTTTGAGGAATGTTTGAGCTAGTCAGTTAGTTGTGACCACAGGTGGATGCTTGCGTTTATTAGGTTTGCCGACTGTTTTAGGGTTCGACCTATAAGGGCGAATGACAGGACGTTGAGTGCAGAAGCATGCAGAAATCATACAGCCCATCCGTGCCCCACTTGGACCCCGGAAGTCTTGTTGACGTTGACCTACGGTCGAGATTGAGCATCAAACTCTACAAAACATGGCAAACAAGCTGTAACCACGGGACCAGTCAGCTATTGAGTAGAACGGCGAGCTCTCGAGCGTCGCAGAAGTGGCTGCTAAGCCATGGGGCCATGTTGCGAAAATTGTCCTCGCCAAGCAGTGGGATAAGTGTCAGCTTACCCCGAATAATGAGCAAGAAACTTCCGTAGGTTGTTGTGCATGGCTAAGTGGCTGACGTCTTCCGTACAAGCCACAATCGAATTCAAATATCCCAAGGTAATCCAAGGTCCTCTTTGCGAGGGTGCCAGTGGGCTACAGCCGAGCAGCTGTCTCTAAGGTTGAGTCTGCCCTGGATGGCTGTAGCAGTATTCTAGATTCTAATCTAAGGCATCAGTTGCTTCGTTGTTTTCTGCATGACAAAGGTGGCCCTTCGTCTCACTGCTCTGAGCTCTTTGCTCCTTTGCAGGAAGTCTTCTTAACGCGAGCCCGATAGGATCGGAGTTCTTGCACGCGGGCCTATGTGCTAAGGCTGCTGAGGGGTCTTAGAGTCTTGGACTGGTCCCATATCACCAACCCTACCCGCCAAGGGTTCGGACATGGGGGGCTCAGAGCATCTAGTTTTCTCCTCACTGGCAGTTGGCTGGAATTAGCCATCTGAAGTGCCATGACCCACTGAACCTAGCGACTAGTTCGAGCAGCACTCAATCAGGAACAGAATCAATGTTTTGACTGCAGCTTGTGTTTCTACGTAGAATGTCCTGGTAGGGAAGATTGCCAATGCTGGCTCGTACTGTCGCAAGGGCCGCAAACACCACAAGCCCACTTGCCGTCACCCTTGCGGCTGACAGGAGGCCAAGGCCCCGTGGCCGCAGCTGCGACCGTCGAAGCAGGCGCGGCACGGCACGGCAGGGCACCTGGGGCAGCTAGGGGGGGGAACATCAGGGCTCACCTCACCAGCAGCCCATGAGCTCGTGACGCGCCGTTCTGCCAGGAGTGGTCAAGGGCTCCTCGGCCCCGGCCTCGGCGAAGGCGGCCGATGATGTCCGGGGCCAAATGTGAGCGAGCCGAGCGTGTCGGCGCTTCATGCGAGCCCTTGCGAGCCCTCCGAGCGCGCGCACCTGCCAAGATGGACATGTTCGGCTGAGATCTACATTGTGAATGCTAATTACTCTTAAGCGTCGCACAGCTACTGCTGGACTGTGAGAGCCTGTGGCTAGTATGACGTCCTATTTGATATGGAGGACTCGAGTACCAGAAGGCTCTCAACAATCAGCAGTGGCGCAAAACGTCATTGGACTTGCCGAGCTACAGTTGCTGCTCCTGAGACCCCGAATGTTTGAATTCATATTGAGTTCGAAGCTGTCGCCTGCTGTCAGAAAGATGGGGGCTCAGTAGCAGTCTTCAAAGGCCTAGCAGCTTGAAGCTGCGTGCATACTGCTGACAATGACATCCAAGTCCAGTGATGTACACGGTGCTTATCTTTTCGGCCGGTTTCTCAAAACCAGGAACTGTTGCTGTCGAGAGTCGAGAACCGCAGAAATGTGTTTGCGTATTCCTGGCTTCGAGAAACGCCTTTATTTAGCTGCACATAGGCTGGTGGGATTCAACCTGTAGCAGTTGGCAGTCCGGGAACCCCCCAGAGGCCGTGCATGACATGTAAAGAAGAGAATGTCTCTCGGGTGCGGGTTCCCAGATGCCAGGATCCGAGATCATGCAAGCCCTGTCTCCTCCAATATCCCTTAACAGACGATTCGAAAAAAGCAGGCACGTTGGCATATTGGAGGGGAGAACCAGCTCTGGTCAATAAGGCAGTCTGGATCAGGATGGGCAGTGCCTCCCCGGAAGGCACCCCAGGAACTTGGAAATTCTGGTTGGGAGGAAGAAGGTTGGGGTGGAACTGGGCCTCCTCCATCTTCCAATCTTCCAGCACATCTTGCCCCCTGGGATCTTGGGCCACAGCCCTATCGGCCGAATCAACCCAATTCAATTGTCTGCCAAAGTCAAATTATCGAATCGTCCCCGTGTTTTGCTTGCCCTCGGGTGCCTTTCTTGGATGGTCCAAGCTTCAGGATCGTGCAGTGCAGTGCAGCTGCAGTGCAGAGAAAGGCGAGTGGCAGTCGCATCGATCCTCTGCGACCCATGCACTTGCAGTTCTAAACTCGCCATGTCACGGCTGCGGCATGAATCAGCTTTGTCCACCCTGCTTCTTTTTCTACCACTGCTGCAGCGCTTGAGGGGTTAAAGCTATGAAGGGATGCGCTTCGAAGAGCCGGAATGATGGGAAGAGCCACAAAGCCTTGGTGTAAATGCACTTTAGCACCTCGACCATAGTGCCCCAAAGCGTGTAGCGAAGAGCTTCGACGCTGTGGACTGCAACGTTGCACGTACTCTACACACCAAACCTGAAGCCAGCCAGAGACACAACAGCAACTAACTGGCCGCTTCCGTTAAACTCCTTCGTTGTGGGCCCGTTGGCCGCGAAGTGCACTGGGCCATGGGAGATCCAGAGCGCTTACAATGGTGCCCCAAGAGCTGGCCTTGCTGTGTCCATTCAAGTTTGCTCATGGAGTGCGGCAGTCGTATGTATGCATGCATGGAGGTATGCATTTATGTATGTGTACGTATGTATGCATGAGTGCAGGTATGTATGCATGTAGGCATACATGAACTATCAATCCACCTTTCTCTCGCTCATAGGTATATCTTTACTGATAACCACATGCAGCTAAACCTAGAGCAACCTGCACAGGTAAATCGAGAAATAGAAGGACAGCAGCACGAACATACACAGAACCGCATATCCACACGCATCCATGCATGTATTCAAGACACATGGTATATGTCGTGCGTGCGTCAGTCTCTATCTGCATACAACCCTATATGTAAGCCACACAGGCATCAGGATGACCAGATGCGCCGCGAGACGGATACGCAAATAGATAGCTAGAGAGAGAGAGAGAGAGAGAGAGAGAGATATATGGTGGCAGTCGTGGATGGGCAGGTGATTGGATGGATAATGGATAGAATGGGGAGGCCGATGGCAAAACAGGTAAGTAGATAGGTATGTGAGTAGGTAGCTAGATTGATAGATAGATGGAGAGATAGAAATCCTGCATGCTTTCCGTGTTTGTATGCGTCTTAAAGCATGAAGGAGCATTTCGAAGTGCAGTAGCTGGGGCCCGACTCTTTTGCACCTCCGCAGAAGCCAGGTATTATGTGGATCGAACGGGCCAGGAGTTCGGCCCATTTCGAACATCGAAGATGCTACTTGGAAGCCCTATCTTTGTTTTCCACAGTCAACCTCAAACGGCTTGACAAAGACCCAAGTGGCAAAGTTCTTTCGGCCTGCTGAGGCGTTCCTGGTTTTCACAAGGATTCTTTCCCATCGGAGACGAGTGCCTCGGCAAGCTGAGTGCTGTGCTGGGCCTGCCGTGCAGTGTTAATCATGAGCAGAGCATACCCAAGCTGTGTTCTGCGGAGGCTCTTGGTCCGCCTCCATGACTGGCCCCCGGAGGTGCTTTACGGCATCTGTCGTGAGCAACTTTGTTCGGGTTTGTTCGTTCAAGGATCAGATTTGTCTCAAGTGCTTACCGGCTGATCTTTTGCTCGCTTCGGCTTTCCGATTTCCTGCTGCGAGGCTGCTGATGTCCCACACATCGGTACTCGCAGTAAGAGCCTAACGTTCCTTCTTCCAAAAAATCTGCCATCTGCCCTGCCAGTCGCATGTGGCAGCTCGGCTCTCAGACGTTCCTGCACTTGTGTGAGAGATCGAGGCTGAGAACGAGAGAGACGCATTGCATTGGCATGAAGGTCAAGATGCTCTATCCTAACCCCGACAGCATCTTCGTCGGAGCGCCGCAGTCACCGCAGAGTTCCGCAAGCCCCTCAGTCGTACATCAAGAATCATCCCTGCTCGGTCATAAGATGTCGTGTCGTTGTCGGAGTCCAATCCGGTCGAGTGGACACCTGTGGTATTCTTGAAGGATAGAGTGCATTGTAATGTGGAGTATGTGATCCCTCCTTCGCTCCGTTCGCTCCGTGTGGCCAGAGCCGCGCTCCACAGCGGCGGCGGAGCCGCAGCCGAAGCCGACGGCGGCAGCCACGGGAGGTGAAAGCCACAGATCCTGCGAGTGCGTGAGGCCTGGCGGCGTGACTTTGCCTGCTGCACGCTGTAACACTGTAGGAGCCACGGCAACCTCCTCGACCGGAGGACGCCAGTGCAGCTGTTCTCAGGTGGAGACTCATCTGGTGACATGTGCAGGAGTACCCCGGGCCCCCTCCTGAATACGATCGCCAGCCGGGCTATGGTCAGCCACCGGGACCGCCTGCTTACGGCGGCTACCCGCCACCAGGTTATGGCTCCTATGGCCCTCCGCCTGGCTATGGAGCTCCAGGATACGGGCCACCTCCCGGTTACGGGCCTCCACCTGGCTACGGGCCTCCGCCGTATGGCTATGGCGCACCAGGCTATGGCCCGCCAGGTCACTACCCTCCACCAGGCTACGGCCCACCCCCGGGTCCAGGCTACGGCCCGCCAGGGGTCTGCCTGGCAGATTGTTTGGGATGAAGCGGGTGACTTATTCAGGTCGGAGCTACAGAAAGCCTGAACGCCCCCACTCTTGACCCACAAGCCCAAAGCCGTAAAGCAATCCTTGTCTTCGCAGCCCTGGAAAGCCAGGGTCCCAGCGGCTTTTCTGGCCGTCAGAATGGAACTCTGAAGTCTTTCAATCCGAAGTCAGAGACTGAGCAGAAGGGTGCTGCGGAATGCACGCACGTCTCCGTCAGCCTATCGTCGTCAGGCACGGCTTTGGCTTCATCGATTGCCCGCAGGTCAGAGGCATAGAAACATCGGCAACTGCTAGAATGCCAGAACACAAGGGATACGAATCAGTCCAGCATGTGCTTAGATCCTTGAAGTGTGCAGAATCCGGGGGGGGGACATGATACTCATGTCCATGTGTTTCTAGGGCGAGTTGCGCGATCTCCGTGCTCCTGTTCGGCCTCTCGCCTGAGGTGCGGCATCGCTTTAGCAGGGACGTCTTCGTCCACAAGGCGACAGCGTGCTCGCACCGCTCCGCTCCGAGCACCGCTCCGAGCACCGTGGGCGTCTGAGCGGTTTGAGGCACAGATCGGCGACTTGGAGGTCGGCGGAAGCCTCGGCTCCTTCTTGGGCCCTAGGACGGAGCTGTGCTGCCTTCGGGGTTCCCCCTTCGGCCTGAGGTGAGGAGCTCACCTTCTTGCTGGACACCAACAAGGCTGGGACGCTGTTGGAACTTCTGGGAGGTCCCAAGGTGGCAGCACCCCGTGGCTTAGGATGGCATGCCCCAAGCACGGGACATACGCCGATCTGATGGCTCCAAGCCGGGTCCTCAACCCCTCACCTCCTGCACTCTGCGAAGCAGCCTTGCCCAGCCCACCCGAGCTTTGCTATGTACTAGTTACTAGTAGTTGTTGTCGTGTACACTCTGAGTAGAGCAGCAAGCGATGAAAGACCCCAAATCTGAGGCCGGGCCCTGGAAAGAAAGGCGCGGGCGCGAGGGAAAAGGGGAGGAGACGAGCGCAGGCAAAAGACATGTCTTTGATTTGCAGGCGAGGAGGCGCCCGCCGCCAACGGTGCTGGCCTCTGTGATCCGGGCACCCAGGCATTGCTCTCGAGTTTTCTGTGCGCCAGGTGGTGAACAGGCTACGAAGAAGCGGCGAAGAGGAGGGAAGGTCCGGATCTCGGAGTGTTGTAGCAGTGGCCTTCCTTGCCGCTCTTAAGAATGCGCTGTGGCTTCAGGGAAAGAAGAAAGGAGAAGACGGCGGAGGCCAGTTCGATGGGAGTACTCGAGCAGACATGGCTTGTTTCAGATGCTGGACCACTCCGCTTCGTTCTCCGGTCATTGATGTGCCTTTCGTGCCCCGAGGCGGTGATGGCAAGGCCGCGCGCCGGTTTTTGCATGTTGAAGGGGTGCAGATAGTCACGGACGGCAAGAAGCAGCTCCGCTAGCTCCTGGGGGCAGTGTTCAACACACACCAATCTGACCAGAGTCTGCATCTTCGGCTGGACAAGGTTTGCGCAGCTTAGTGTTCTAGAGGTTGTGTAAAATGTGAAACAGTATGATTGTCCACAATCTGAGATGTCTCCATCTTCTTGATTTGAAAATCATGCCCTGTGCAGGGACCAGGGGAGGCTGCAAAGCAAGTGGGCTCAGCTGGGCGCGGGGAGCACTTTTCATCGTTGTAGATCCGTGGCATTCCTTCAGCAATTGCAGCCCGGACTCATCCCGTGAGAAGCTAGCAGCTAGCAGTGATGACGGAGCTGACTTGTCTTCAAAGGTAGGACGAGGAGCTTGCGCTAGAAGTAAGGTCGGCAGATGCCACTCCTGCTCTCAAAGATGCCGATGGCAACAGCGCCAAGGCAGGGGACCTTCACAGCAAGGTGCTTGTCATGTCGAGTTTGTGTCTGCTGTAGCCCCCTCAGTCCTCCTCGGCTGTTTATGCCATTGATCTGGCATGCACGGCTCGGCAAAAATCGTTTGCGTGATTCGTGGACGAGGCTGAAGCCACGGAGGCGCCAGAAACCCAAACTTAGACTTAGACGCTCTTTCCCAAAAATCTGCCAAGCTCGGTCCTTCTGATGCTGAGGCCGCAGACGTCGAATGGTGAGCCCAAAGCCGACTCCCAGGAGTGGAGCTGCTCTAAGCTGGGCCTGGAGCCTTGAGATGCGCCTGTGTTCTTTGGTGCAGGCTCCTGACGAGGCGCAGCCCGGAGCCCAGAAAGGACACACTACCCGAGACCGAGTTGCTTGGGGCTTTCTGGGCCTTGGGGCCTTGGCCTGAGCCAAGGCCCGCCGAGAAAGCCACAGCGGAGGAACCGGAGCAGGACGGCGAGGTGCAGGACTCCTGTCCATGACGTCGTCCTCCTCCGTTCCCTTCCCTTTGCTAAGTACCTCAACAAAAGGATAGATATGACGACTCTGCTGTTTCTTTTCCTTGGGCATCCCTTAGTGTAGGAAGAGTTCTTGGGCCCTGCAGTGAGTCGTTCACCCTGCCTGAACGTTGAGGAGGCTGCTGCTGCCGAGCTTGCACCTCAAAAGGTGGTGGCTGTTGAACCAGATGCGTATTGCATAACCCTGCTGAGCCATTCTGAACCCTCGCATGGCTGTATAGAGACAGAGATCACGAGGCCTGCCAATGCTCCCATCGAAGCACCTCCGGCCGAAGCCTCGGTCTTTGAGCTGACCTGTGCTTCCGCGACAGAGCTGGGTGAGGCTGCAGCAGAAGCTCCGGCAGCAGAAGCTCCGGCTGCGGAAGCTCCGGCAGCGGAAGCTCTGGTGGTGGAAGCTGCTGCAGCGGAAGCTGCGGTTTCAGCGGCGGACCAACCAGCAGATTCTGGGGGGAAAGCCACGGATGCTCCGGCAGAGGCGCGGCGTTCCCGCACGCTCCAATAAAGCTTAATGTTTGCTCAGCACTCGTGACTCCAGCCCAGCTTCCAGCCAACATTCTGCGGAAGTGCCTGCAGAGGCTTTAGCCACGGAGGCTCCGAGTGCAGCAGCTGCGCAGGCAGGCGCAAGCCTTGACTCTTTGTCTGCTGGGACATGCAGCCTCGCCAAGGCTTCGCCTGAGGCAGCCGCGCCCACGCCCACGTACGATTCTGAGATCCTCAGGCAAACTTTAGCTATCGTGACAGCGCAAAGCGCCGTGTCAACCGAGGCCAGCAGAGACTCCCCCGCCGACCGCACAGCAAGCGCCCGAGGCCACCGCCCATGTTGCAGCTGGGTCCCTGGAGTGAGGGGATTCAGGCTGCAGGGCTAGGGTGGCTCAACATGGACAGGAGCTGGCCACTGCGAAACTGCATCAGGCTTAGCTGCTTCGTTGTTGTACTGTAGAGAGCAGCCGACGAGAATACACCGTTGGCCAGTGCCAACGAGCGAATCAGCGAACGTAAGCGAACGTGCCCGGCCGCACCGAGGCCAGTGGAAGCCTCTCAAGATCTGACTTCCCAAGCGGAGCCCCACCAGGCGGTCTCTGGTGGCTGTGTGAGCTTTGCAGGGTCGGGCAACCGCCACAGCCAGCATGTTGGGTTGCAGGCCCAGGCTGCAGCCACGGAGCCTGGGCCTCTGATGATCTGACCTAGCACTGGAGGCTGCAACTCGGATGGCGAGTTTATGCCGAGAGAATGCAGGTCTGCAGATGCCGCAAAGGACACTCCCCAGGACAACCCGAAGGCTCGGAACATCAGTCGGACAGGGGCAACCGGCAGGAACACGTGGAAGCAAATCACCCCTCCGCAACAGCAGCCAAAAAGCACACCGGCAGCAACAGCAGACAAAAGAGACAACAACAATACACAACCACACACCCAGCAAGAAACATAAACAACTAAGTAACCAACCAACCAGCCAACCCAACCACCCAACCAACCCAACCAACCCAACCAACCCAGCCAACCCAACCAACCCAGCCAACCCAGCCAACCAAACCAACCCAACCAACCGAACCAACCCAACCAACCCAACCAACCCAACCAACCCCACCAACCTAACCAACCCAACCAACCCAACCAACCCAACCAACCCAACCAACCCAACCAACCCAACCAACCCAACCAACCCACCAACCCACCAACCCACCAACCCACCAACCCACCAACCCACCAACCAACCAACCAACCACCCCAACCAACGAACCAACCAACCAAACCAACCAACGAACCAACCAACCAACCAATCATCCAAACAACCAGCGAACTAACTAACGAACGAACGAAGGAACGAAGGCACGAAGGAACGAACGACCGAGCGAACTAACTAATTAACTAACTAACTAACTCACTTTTAGCCAACTAAAAAGACCGACTAACTAAATAACTGACTGACTGACCAAACTAGCTACTTACTTAACTAGCTCAAAAACTAGCAAGCCAACCAACTAACTGACTAACAAAAAACTAACTAACCAACTGACTCACTAGCTAACTGTCAAGACAAAACGCAAAAAAATATCAACCTAACAAAGTAACAAATCACGTAACTAGCCAACTAACTGGCTAAATGACAAACTAGCAAAGTAGCAAACTAACAGCCTAACAAACTAGCACCCAAGCAAACCAGCAAACAACCACACTAGCAAGCAAGCAAACAAACGCACAAACACAGAAGCCAAAAAAGCAAACAAGCAAGCACGCCAGCAAGCAAGCAAAAGCAAGCAAAAGCAAGCACAAGCAAGCGTGCATGCGCGAAAGCGAGCAAACATGCAAACACGCAAGCACGCAAGCCTGCAAGCATGCAAGCACACAAACAAACACACCAACATACAAACACAAACAAACTAGCAAACTAACAAAGCAAGAAACAAACAAACACGAGCAACGAGCGAACCAACCACTCAACCAACTAAGCGAGCGAGCGAGCAACAAACCCGCAAGCACAGAAGCACACAAGCACGCAAGCACGCAAACATGCAAACACGCAATCACACAACCAAGCATCAAACAACCAAGCATCAAACAACCAAGAAACATCAAGCAACATGAAGCAACATCAAGCAACACCAAGCATCAAGCAACATCAAGCAACATCAAGCAACATCAAGCAACATCAAGCAACATCAAGCAACATCAAGCAACCAACCAACCAACCAAGCAACCAAGCATGGAAAGAACCAAACAAACCAAATAACAAACCGACAAACGAACGAACAAATACAAGCACAAGCAAACAAGCAAGCGAGCAAGCAAGCAAGCGCACACACACAAACACACACAAACACACACACAAACACGCAAACACACAAACTCACAAACGCACAAACACTAGCACACAAACACAGCAACACAAAACACACAAATTCACAAATACACAAAAACACCAACAAGCACCGACACGAACAATCACACAAATACACAAATACGCAAATACGCAAACACACAAAAACACAAATACACAAATACACAAATACGCACACACACATACACAAACAAGCACACACACACACAAACAAGCACACGCACACACACACACACAAACAAGTGCACACACCCGGCAGCAACAGCAAATAAAACCACAGACACACACAGACAGACACACACACACACACACACCAGGGAGCGACAAAGCAGAGCAACTTCAAAGCGAAAAGCATTGTTACCGCCTTGGCGCTCTCTCTTCACCGACTCCTCGGACGGATAGGTTCTGGAGATTCAGGGCTCTTGCAGAGTTGCGGCCTGTCATTCGGAGCTTGAAGCTACGATCCCCAAGGGGAAACGTGTCCAACATGTTCCGGGCATTGAACGAACGCCTCGTTCAGCGAACGCATGCACGGGGGATCGCATCGTTTTTAGAGTTATGGCTGCCGTGCTACGGAACCCTGACATGAAGCCTCGGAAGCAGGGTCTTTCATGCTGAAAGCCAGATTGCGCCAGGCCCCGGCGGAGTCGGAGGCGTAGCTGGGCCGAAGTTGCGAAGGGAGTCGTCCCCACCCTCCTAGGACTTGGTGCAAACGCGCGTTCAAGCCAAGGCCTCCAGCCAGTGCGCCTGCGGAAGCGCCCGCGGCGGCCTCCGAGGAGTGGGGAAAGTGCAGGGTGCGCAGATGCTGTGCAGATGCTGTGCATATGTATACTGAACCTTTTTTGAGGGCGGGGTCGAGCTCGATCCGGCAAGTTACAACGACAGCCTCCTTCAGTCCCTCGTGGCCTTGCAGCACCCGACTGCTGAGGGGGCTTGGGACTTGGTGTCGAAATGTGTCGAGCCCCTATCGGTGTTGCGTGAGACACTCCGAATCTGGGTGCAGCGCTGCGGCCACGAGTCAGGCGTGACTTCAGCAGCAGAGGATGCTACGCTCATGCTAGATCCAATCCTTTGCTGTGACACCTTCTGCCGCACTAAGTCGGTTGCCCCAGTCGCGGATTGCTGTGCGGAGCTTCCAGGTCCACTGCCTGATACCATCCCCTTCATCCTTACCGGCCAATGTTCTGTCTTTCACATCGGGGCTCCACCTTGCCCAGCCTTCTGTCACCCTTTTATTGGGGGCGCTCCCCTTTCGGCGGCACGGAAGCAGGCTGCGTATGTGGAAGCCACACTCGATGTCTTAGGCGCGGCGGTACAGCAAACTGCCATTTCCCGTGTGCGCATTGACTTTTCCCCGAATGCCCTTGCGTGTCTCGAGCCAGCCCCCACCTGGCTGATCTCTGCCGGCTTTCGGAGCGGGAATGGTGGTCTGCACAGCCCACAGGATTAGTTTCACTTCCGAATTCGTTGTTTTGTGCAATAGGCGCGACTTATGGTCCCTAAGCCTGCGGAATGAAAAAAAAAACTGAACCTTTGCACGTTCTGCACTCATTCTGATATATCACTCTGAGGCTTGGGTGGCATGCTGATTTCTCATGCGTGGCTTTGAAGTCCTCGCATTGATGTTGCAGGAGGCTCCTTCCAATACGACGTCCTGAGGGCGAGCGGCCGGTGGTGGCTTGACATGGCTTGACCACGTTAGCTTAAAGCCACATGGATGAGCAGCTTCCGTAGTCAAAGTCTTAGCTTTCCCATCGATGTCCATGTCGACATACAGAAGCTGCGCTCCCCACAGCGCGCCACTCGGAGAGGTTTCACGGCGAGGAGAGGAGAGGTGAGGTGTAGCTGCCTTGTGCATGCTTTTCAGATCTTGTCGCCTCCCCACGCGAGGGGAAGTGCGATAGCTAAGACGGCTTGTAGGAGGAGACTTTGCTAATATTCCATCTTGCTATGTCTCGCCCGGACTTCTGTCTTTCTAGAACACCTGTTCGACTGAAACACTTGTACTAGCTACCTGAGTGCAGCATGGCATGTTCCGATCGGATTGCAGAAGTCGGGATGAGATCGCTCCGTGACCAGCGGGAAAACCCATGCAGCAGCATGCTGCTCTCGTAAGCAGGCAAGCAAGTGACATGAATTGATTTGCGATGCCAGGCGCAGAGATCTTTAGCAGACGACAGATAGTTCCCCGCATGCCCGCAAACTTTGGCTCAGCTGGTGGGCCACGCAAAGGCTTCGTGTCGAGGGCCGACAGGCCGGAGGAAACGAGAACGCATCGAAGCAACTGCTATGATTGCGTGTTGCTGACCATCTGTGCTCTGGTGCCCTGCGCCGATTGAACACGCGAAAAATACCATGAAAGCTTTGCTGTTGTCGTTTGCCCAGTCATCCTGTGATCAGAAGCAACGATGGGAGAACTTAGCACGTCGTGCAGCAATAGTTGATAGTTCAGGCCCCCCGCCCCTTCCCCCTTCGAGGATCCGAGCGCCCGCTCCCCTCTCCTCCGGCTCCCCTTAAAGTTCCACGCTGCCCCAGTGCTTGAAGGGTCCTTATCCATCATGTTTCGAATGTCCGTGTGCAGTGCATACCTGTTGTCTGGACCCTGCATCTAGCAGCAGTTTCAAACTTTCGGGGACAATTGGCAGCATGGCAACTTTCGTGTAGAGTGACTTCAAAGACACTGCTGCATTATGTATGCATTTGCCCATCTGTTGCACTTTCTGACAAGTTACATTTCTGCGCAGTAAGCCATACTCGTAGCGAACTTTGCGGCTGCACACGCGGCGGAATGTTTCGGCTTTGGCGGTGCTCGCTTAGGGTTGTGTGGAGCGCATTGGCATGTTCGCGCCGGCACATGCCAACCATATTTCTAGTTCGTTCGCTAGCGAAATTCGGAATCACTGCTGACATCTGCTGACAATATGTCCCTGACCGGCGGAAAGCTGCTTGGCATGTGCCGGCCCGACAATGCCAATCCACTGAGGAAGTTTGCCTTTGAACGTTGTGCACGATGACAAGAAAATGCCACAGGCTCGCAGCGCCGCAGCGCTCCCCAACATGGGCAGGCTGAAGCTGGGGGAAAAGAGGGGCTTTGCTGCGCATTCCTTTGGTCAGCCGAGGCGCGGGCAAATTGCGATCGACCGGATCGTGGCGCTGCGTTCGTCAGTGTTACCGCATCTTGGCATCGGCTTAAAGCAGAATCCTGTGTGTGTGTGCCAGCAAAGCAACGAAGAGTGCATGTGATGTAGATCCGAGGATCTACATCATCATCAGCAGCAGCCACAGCTTTGTCAGGGCTGCACGGACGGCAGGAAATGCTGTCTGCACTCAGGGCCCAACAGCGT